TTATTTTTTACTTATGTTATTTTTGATGTGAGGTTGTTGATATTTGACATGTCCAATTCTAATTCTCTACAGCTATGTATGAAATAAGTAATAATAATAATAATAATAATAATAATAATAATAATAATAAAACTAAACATATAATGCATGGGATATTGATGAAAACTGGTTCAGTCAGAGATGTCCAATTGATGAAAAAGTGAGTGTACAGTATCCCATGTGATTGTGTGCAAATGCTACATAAGCAAAACAAGAAGACCTGTAGATGTATGCATTAAGGAGCACAAATACGGCCTGACCTAAGGTCTGCTCAAAAAATCAAAATTAGCCCAACATGCATATGAAGAAAGCCATAAAATATGTTGGAAAGAAACGAAGGTCTTGCAGATTGAACTGAACACCACATATAGGAAATACAAGTTATTCACCCACATGACTCAGAGAGACTATCTGATCAGTAGACCCAGCTTGAATATCTCTCCCATCTAGATGCCCATTATTGTAGCAGAAGCCAGGAAACTACAACTCTGTCCAGTGTAGATTATGTGAGATAGTTGTGTTTTTATGTTAGTACTATACAAAGAATTTGTCTCTATAATGTTGGCTTCTGTTTTGATAGTATTCTGATTTTATAGACATTGGCCATGAAATAATAAAGACCATGGGTGTTAGGCCTCAAATGTCTGGAGTGTTTTAATGTTTGTAATGTTTGTCTTAATCTTGCTTATGGTTTATGTTGTGTTTGGTTTATATATATCTCACCTTGTGCTGGTGCTGATGTTTGGAGATAGAGACAACCTCTGTCAAGGGGGCCCAACTGAATAAACTTTTACCTGAAGACAGAGACAGAATCGAGCTTCCAAAACATTGTGTTTAAATAAAATTAGGATGAAGGATAATATACAAGAACTCAGTCACTATGTCTTACTTTTTGCCCTGGTTACACTCTTAAGATTAAAAAATCAAAGATAGAAACTGATATAATAAATACACTCAGATGAGATAAGGTGAAAAAAGAAAGATCACTTACCAGAATAAATGCAGACAAATTTCTTTACAGCTTTACACAAAGGTCAAAACAGAATTAGAAGAAAATTAAAGATGTTGTTTGTTCTTTATGCTTTGTATTAATTTCAGCATTTTATATGTCCTCTTTTAAAAAAGGTTAAGAAACAGATTGTTCCTGTGGTTGCATGCCTGACTTGAATTCAGAAGGCTATGCTTTGAACAGGGAATGGTAAAGGTAAAAAGATAAAGCAATCCCTGTAACAAGCTGTGGAGGCCCATAGGGTTGTGAGACATCGAGACTGCCATGTTTTCTAGACAGTTGGCTCACAGAAGGCTGTGAGGCTGTCAGCCTTACACGCTGGCTGCTCTTTAACCCTAGGAAGATTCCTGGTACTCATTTCTGTTAGAGGCTGAGTATTGGACCAAGGATGAATGATGTGTAGTCATCATGAATTTGTAATATGTGACATGTTTTACATCCAGCCCTACGGGGAGATCATTGGATCCATGAAATGATAAATAAATGTAAATGTAAAACTCCAGGGCCATAGTGTGTGGTTGGAAGGATTAGGTGACTTGAAAAATTCAGTGACCTCATCAGGAATCAAACCTGCGACCTTCCAGCTAGTAGCATAATGCCTTAACCAACTATGCTACCATGTGTACCTTAAACAGGGCATGAGCTATCCTAACTAAGATTACTTGTGGCCTTTAGTCATCCCAGGTAAATTAAGCCAAACTCTTAGTTTGCAACTAGGCCATCAATCAGTGCACATATGTCTGTTTTGTGTAGCCACCCAAAGTATCGAGCAGCGCTCAAAGAAAAGCTTCCATGTTTCGTGTGTGGGGAAGCAGAGGGTGACACTGTATCCCAGGCTTCAAATGTGACAGCAACAGAAACTTCTGAATCAAAAGCATAGGATTGTGTGTGATGCTACAGCCAGCAAGGTACAGTTGAAGAGCATGAAGAAGTAAAAACTGTGCTGTACAATAATTTTAAATAATGATGATAATGATGATTTGTATTCTGAAATTGGTATTAAAGTTTGACAGATGATTATCTGACTTGTTTCATAAACCAAAGAACAATATATTCCTAACATCTGTCTTTTTTTTTGTGTGAACACAAATTATTTTTTACATATCAATGAAACTTATTGAATGTATATTTAGAATTAATATATTACTATATATATATATCATCTATTCCCTCAAGTAACCTCCTAAACATGGCAGACACTATAGGCCACTCAGGTCCATCGCAGCCCCTGAGCTACAGGGTTAATGCCCTCCATTTAACCTTCCCTTCTCTCTCCCTAACACATACTCTATACAAGCTCTGGCCCACTACCTGCTGGCTATTCCACCAGACCCTTCCCCTCCCCCTCTCTACTATTTCCCTGTGTAGCCACACTCCTTCTCTCCTTTTATACAGCTGTGTTTGAGCGACTGGATTCAGTCTGTTGCACCTGCTCTGCTGGTTCGCTCGTGGATTTCTTCTTGTCTTCTACCCTGAAGATGGAGGCAGTACGTTCATCTGAAACGTCGGTTAACACAATTTCTACATGGCAGCACATCCCAGAAGATGGCTTTCTTCATAGTCACCGCTGTGGAAACCTCAAATCTTACATAATATATTTTAGTTCAGAATCTTTTGTCTTCCAAGTTCCACACAGGGAGCACAGATAATGCTATAAATATAATATAAACTATAGAGGTGTAAAGGTAAAGATAAAACTGTCCTTCTGCACCATCAGAGCAGCATCAAAATGAAGTCCTACATAATAAATACCTTGTGAAAGAGCCTGTGATACCCAGTGATTAGGAGGCTTGGAAGTTTGTTTAGGAATGTGTCAGTTCATCCAGGTTATACCCATTCTCTTTAATGAGTACTGCATGAGGGTTAATTCATTTATATTCATTTAACTAGAAGTGTGAGAGACCAGGCTATGGATTGGGTAACCAAGGAATCATGGTTCAATTCCCAGCAGGGGCAAGTTATTTTTATCTTTTCCACACTGTCCTCACTTGCTCTTTGACCCACACAGCCTCCTGTCCAATGGATACCAGAGCTGTTTCCTTGGAGATAAAGCAGTTGGGGTGCAAAGCTGACCATTCACCTATGTCTAATGCTAAACTTAAGAAAGGTGGAGCTATACCTCCATTCTCCCATATGTCTTCATGGCATGGTGCTTAATTAAGCATAGGAACAACTTTTCACCTTCAGTTACTTATTGTACTGGCACTGCAAATGTCATTGTGACTAATTAGATCTTTTCTGATGACTTCAGCAGTAATCTTATCTAATGAGGAATATGAGGGGACAGATATATTTCTATAAGATGCCCACCAGTTGCTCACTTCAACAGAAGAATAGCAGAATTATGGTTTATTTCTGTACAGCTGAATAGCTTTAATGAATTAGAGTTGCCATCACAGGCTAGGGTTTACTAAATCATACCATTTGCTGTTATGAAGATTCTATACACAATGTCATCCAGTTACTTTTGTTTAGTGAAGTGAATCACTTTCATTTCATTCAATGTGTGTAGGTAGGAGCCTTATGAATCATCACAAACACATTACCTTAGTTCTCTCATTTGTCCCAGCAGACTGTGCACTGTAAGCTAAAATTCCCAACACATGGAAATGTTGTAACTTGATTTTAAGCTTGTGGTTTTTTGTTAAAATTATTACATCATTGCTGTGGTGAGCTTGTTTGCCAACTATTTACAAAAAATTAGCAGTCTTCATCTTATGGGCATAGTCTGTATTCTGTTATATATATTTCCTGCTTCCTTTGTTACCCCATTCACACTAAAGATGGAGACTTCATTTCTCCAAAATGTTCGTATACCAGCCTTCCATTACAATATGGTGGAAATGTGAGTCAGCTAGCATCCATGGAAGCCTGACTTTGATTTTATGCTCACATCTTAGCACACACTGTTATGATGGAATTCATCTCATATGATATCACAATTGAAAACTGCCTTTTTCTCCCAGAACTGGAAGAATATAATGATGTTGAGAATGGACATTGATCTGTCATAAGAGCTGGCAGGCAGTGTGATGCTGAAAACTGTCTCCTAGGTAGCTGAAAATGTCTCTGCCAATGGATCTGATTGCAGTACATAGGTTATGCAGCAGTGGTCTTCTCCTCACTGGTAGTTGTGGTTCCGGAAGCCACAGAGCTGGAATCATCATCAGTTCTTGCACAGGCCAAACTGGGGAACTTTTTGAATAGGGCTGCCTGGTATTTTGGGTGGCTGTAAGGAACAGTAACACATTGCAGTACCTTGGGATCATGAAAGAGAGAAATTTTTTAATAGTTTTGAGTACCATTACTAAAACATTAGCTACATATGAAATAAATGTGTACATGATGAACCATCCTCATAGAATTCTCTACATGTATACATTGCATTACCTATCACACATTTAGTACAGCTATATATATATATATACAGGGTGTCCCAGGAGGAATGTGCCAGACTTTGGGAGGGTGTTCCTTATGTTAAAGTATGCCAATATAACCCAAAACACCTATGTCCAAAGTTGAACGGTTATGGAGATAATGGCCAGAGAAGTGTGAAACTTTGGCAGGTGTTACACACTTGTTGATTACCAAATACATATTAAAACTGACAGGAATATGTCGTTTCTGTAATGTTAATAATGTACATAACATCAAACTAACTTGTGAGTGACATGAAGCCATTAAATTGAACTACAAAAAACTCACACGCCATGGCAAAGTTGTCGTTAAGAGTTCCAAGCACTATACATGACACATGAATGCTGAGCGCTGACGTAACATTGCTGACTGCGCGTTCTGGTATGCGAGTGTATGGGGCTAACATGAGCTGTCATCACCACACTCAAGGACAAACATAGATAAGAATTGTCAGATGACAGGTACAGTGCGTGGACCTGCCAGAAGACCGCACTTTTCTCGGATCATTATCTCCGTAACCGTTCAACTTTGGACATAGGTGTTTTGGGTTATTTCGGCATACTTTAACATAAGGAACACCCTCCCAAAGTCTGGCACATTCCTCCTGGGACACCCTGTATATATATATATATATATCTGTAGTTCCCTGTGACTGTTTTTATTATTATTATTATTACTTACTTACTTACTTACTTACTGTCAGAACTACTAATTTTTGCCAGTTTCCAGTAGGGTATAATTTCAAGTAAATTCTTCGCAAGTTTAGCCTCATAATTTTGTTATTTCATTTGTACAAATCTATGTTAGTTCATAATTTCTTTTTTGCATGGGCATACTTATATGATTTCACTGGTGTTCAGTTTAATAATTTATGGATATAAATGCAATTTCAGTATAAACCCATGCAGCATAACTACAGTGTTGAATATTTGGCTTTATTTTTCTCCAGATATCTCTCTCTTCTAAGTGAAATTTGTAGAGAAAACACTCTGTCTTCATTTTACCATCATCTCAAGACATATCATGGGGAAGGAAAACCTGACAACCTTTTCATTGTCCTCTTTTTTTGTGGAAATCTTAACATCTTACCTGATTCCATAGACAATGGGATTGTAGACTGCATTAGCCTTGGCAAAAAGAGAGCACCAGATGGTGGCCAAGGGGCTGATCTTAGCACCTTCAAAAATACCAGTGTAGTTTGTGACAAGGTATGGTGTCCAAGCAAAGAACCACAGTGAGATAGTCATCAGAGCAACCTGTCAATAATCAGTGAATAACTTTCCTAACCAAATATGTTCATGTTACATGTTAAAATGTTGCATGCTCCTGTTCCTTCACTAACTATCTACAGAAAGTACCTGCTTCTGGGCACATTTTCTTACCTTGGCCAGCTTGCACTCGGCACTTGTGTTTGCCTGGTCAGCCGATCTCAGGGAAGCCACATTCATCTTCTTTGCCTGCTCCCTCATTTGTTTCTCATGGGCTGCCACCGCCTGGATTGTATGACAATTTTCTCAGAAGCTGACAGATATATTAACATTATTCTAAGAGGAATTAAAATTGAATGATGATATGGGAGTTTATGTCCTTAATTTGTGTTTTTCTCTATGAAAATATATTTTGTCGCCTTTGCCAGTTGCATAATTTAGATGTATAAAGTATTCACAATATGTTTCTTTCCTTTGAAGAGGGAGACAATCTGTGAAACAGTAAGTGTCGTGGGTGCCATCCTCTGGGTTCTAATGTTGTGTAATTCAGGGCTGTCCTCAGACTTCACAGCCTTACAACAGAAAAGACTATAGTCTTAAATAATACCCAGTGTGAGAACCTGTAACTATGTGTAGTGATAGGCTAGACCAGTTAGGTGGGTCTAGCCTATCACTACACATAGTTACAGGTTCTCACACTGGTTCACATTTGTTTAATCATGAATAAGTAAACATGCTTTGGACTTTGCTTTGTTATATATTAATGCTGTAGTTCTGTTGCTTTCATTTAAACACCTCCCTGAATGAAGACATGAATATTGTCTGAGTTCTAATTACCTTCACAATGAACCAGTAGGAGTAAATTATGGTCAGCAGAGGAGCGAAGTACACCCATACAGAATAAACAAGGATGTAGCTTCGGCTTACCCAGTCCTTGGTTAAGTAGTCAGTGCCACATGCAGTCATGTTGCCTTCAGGTACATACCTGAAAACATTTCAATTGCTAATCCACAATGTTATCTTGAAAAAAGCAAAAGGTTTTGATTCCTCCAAATCTTTATAATATAACAAAAAAGGAAAACAGTATTAATTCTACAAATCATCATCAAATAGTAATGTACTTAGCCCACTTGTCCAGTTCTGGTCACATTTGTTTATAATTCTATCAAAGAACAGCTTTTATGTGTTATCCCAGTGAGTCTGTTTTAAAGTAAAATAAAAATAACTTTTGATGGAATACAGCAAATTTTAATTCATGTTGTTTATTTTTTCTATATTCTATCAAGAGTTATTTTTTTATTTTAAATTTTTATTATCCTTATTTCCTCCAGAACGTCCAGAGCTTTCATTGTAGTCTTTCTATTTGTATTTCCAGCTCATATTGTTATTCAGCTGTGGTTCTGGATTTGTCTTCAGTGGTAAAGGAGGAAGGTTCATCTCATAGTTCAACTATTTTTCTTCTCCAAAAAAGGCTATCAGAGCGATGTTGGGATATGACAATAGAGTTTCATGTAGAAACATATTTAAAGAGTTAAGTATTTTAGCATTTGTATCACAATATATATTTTTGTTGTTAGTATTTGTATTGCAAAATAAAGTTACTTTTCCATCAAAAATTGATTCTCATACTACCGATACTAGACAAAGACAAGATTTGTATCTACCTCAAGCTAATTTAACTATTTATCAAAAAGGAGGTTATTATGCAGGTATAAAAATATTCAATAAAATGCCCATAGAGATCAAGAACACATTTAATAATTTTAAAAAGTTTTAAGGTTGTATTAAGGCATTTCTTGAATACTCATACGTTTTATACTGTGGATGAATATCTAAATAGATAATCTGTATTATTGTTGCATTCATTGTGCTGTCTAGTTATGTAATATTTATGTATGTATTCTGTACTCTATATTATTTTATGACATGTTCAATATCCATCTTTGGATCTCTTGAACTTACAGTAAATACAGATACAAATACAAATTCCATCATGTCAAAATCATAAACATCGGTGACATTTAGGGGGAACTTTTTGCCTCATTTTTCAGGGTCAAAATAGTCAGAGAGAAACAAAAGGAAAAGTGAATACTTTTCATATTTTGATTTTGTCTACTATGCTTTGCACTGTTACAACTGTATGTATCAAATTAAATTGCAAGTATCAAAAACAAAGTCCTCAAGGAAACATTTGGGCCTAAATACAGTGAATTAAGTGGGGAATGTAGGATATTATGTAGCCAGGAACTTCATGACTTTTTCAGCTCACTGACTATTGTGAAGGCAACCAAATCAAGTGGGATATTATAGACTGAAAATACATCATTTTGGCTGGGAAACATGTTGAAAAGAAGCTGTTTGGAAGACAGAGAAGATGTTTGGAGTATAATATTAAACTGATTAAAAAAATGATTGTAAAGTTTGAAATTGTTTGAACTAACTCACAGTTGTATCCAGCAATACGACTTTGTATTTTCAGTAATGAACTATTTGATTCCCTTACCAGAATGTTAGTTATTTAGTTAGCTGGTTCAAATACTGAATTAAGTTACAAGTAAAACTCCATTCTGCTCGTTACCTGTTCCAGCCAAACATTGGGAATATAGTCCACATGATGGAGAAGACCCAAACTCCAAGGATTTTGAGTATGGCTCCTTTGTTTGTCATGGGTTTTGCTGATAACCCCTGAAATATGAAACAAATGTAGTTTGAGTACTCCAGTGTAAGGCATAAGTCTAGTCTGGTACTTGGTTCAGTCAAGTGGTGCAAACACTTAACCACCATAACATGGTAATAAGATTTCATGCTAACTTTCCAAACACTGAAGAAGAATTTTCAGTGATATCCTGTGATTCAAACAGAATTTTCTTCTAATCCCTATTGAATTTAGTAATACCTCAGTTACAGCTTCTGTGAGGAGGATGCATATAGCAACATCTTTCACCTCAAAAGGTACAAGGAAATTAAGAGTTATCTCACTCAGTGACCTTGTCTTCTTACAATGTATGAGCTTGAATATACAAACAGTAGTGACACTCTGTTTAGGATAAAACATTATCTTGAAAAAAATAGTTTCTAAACTTGTGTTTGATCTTGTAGTAGAATACTTTTGCACATGCCCCACTAAGCATATCTGTCTCAAGATCAAGTAAATTGTTTATTGGAACATACAGTATATTTACTTAGACAGTATTCACTGTGAAGGCAGAGGCCTTTGATATCACTCCACGTCTGCCTGAAAGGAAATGAAAACAAATAGTCTTGCAAAAACATCAGCTTTTCAAAACACACAAACCGTTGAGCCTTATGAAACTGCTCAGCAACAAAAATGGAGACACATCACTGATTTTTCAGGTATAAGTTTATAAACAGTAGTTATGCAGTATGAGATATGTATTGTCTTCTACTGTTTGATCACCGGGATCGTATATTTGAAATCCCATTCAGAGCAAGAATTTGTGTCTGCGTTCTCTTTTGTATTTTTATTGTTCTTTGCAGAAGAGACCTAGCAATGGACCAAACCCCACAAATAAGTCATACAAAATGGCTAAAAATAAGATTCTGAAATTAAAAAATGAGAGACCATAGACCACATTGTTTGTCATGCTATGTAAGAAGATAAAATCCATACGCTTAATTCATATGAACTTATGCTACTCTGATCACATGCCAAAGTATTGAACACACAAGACCAGTTACGTTGATGAATGTAAAGAAGAAAATTGTCCAGAACATCAGGTCACCCTCTGAATTATACTGTGAATACAAAACACTGTGAACTACATAAGAATATAAAAACAGATCTCTATAACCTCCATGATCTTGTTCAATACACTATGAGATAATAAATAAATTAGTAGTAGTTCTCACCATCTATATTATACAGTTTCGGTTCCAATTATGACAGAACACATTTTACTGCAAGTAAGTCCACTTTGATGATATAAAATAAGCCATAGGAATGAACATTATTTTGCTTTTATTTTATGTTTTAAATAAAGAGTAACTTACAACTCCTGAGGAAATCATTGAATACTTTGTTTTCTTGCCCTTGGTCCATTTCTGTCATTAGAGATGGGGGCTTTAATCCTTGCCTTGGCACAAGAAAAATGCCGTAAGTTGATATTGCTCTTGAACAAGCTACACACAGTGTTGTCTTCTGTCAATAAGTACTTTATTTCTCTGTTATTTTTCAAAACTCTAATACAGTCAGAAGCCTTTTGAGTCAAAGCACTCTCTGATGTATCTAATATAGAGCTTCAGAAATATACACTGAATAGCACTACTATTGCTTTAGAATTTTGCAAGGCAGCTAAGTTGGTATTTCATATGACAGAAAGTAAAAGTGATCAAGCTCGGTTGTCCTCCAGTTGTAAGCTATTCATACCAAGTTTCATGAAAATCAGGCAGTTAGTGTCAAAATATCAGCACCTGAATTTAGATGAGACAGACATCTGTAGCTAATGGCAATTAATTTGAACCTTGGAAAGGATCTTTGATATATGTTAGCTTTTACCTTGACAATGACGTTGTACCTGTCCAGAGCAATCATGGTCATCGTCCAGATTGAAGCACATCCAAAAAGAGATCCGCACATTCCATAAATCTCGCACATAAAGGGGCCTGCAACAGGATTTCCATTGTAACGCCCAAACAGTGTATTCCATTCTCTGAGCACAAAGAGACAGATAACTCACCCAGTACCCAGGTCTCATTGTAGCAATTGATGACCATAATAGGTGACATGCAGGTCATCATAAGGAAGTCAGAGAATGCAAGATTCACCACAAGAAGGTTGGATGGTGTTCTAAGAGACTTTGTGGAGCAGAAAATGTATAAGACCATTCCATTGCCAGTAACCGAGATGAAACCCAGCACACCAATCACAAAGCCAAGTAATCCATGCCACAGTGGGTTCATGGGTGGAAATTGATACCTATAATTGACAATATTCAGTTTAAAACAGTATTACTGAACTTTGACAGCCAACAAAATCTTTTTTGAAAAAAAAAAAAAAAAACCAATGCAAAACCAACTAAAATGAAATATTTTTCTGAGGATTTCTGCCATTTGTGTCCATTTCTCACTTTCCAGATATCGCTTGGTATTCCTATCCATATACAGGTAACCTCTACACATTATTTTTCTACTGAAAATGAGATAAACTAGTGTAACTGCACATCTCAATATAATATTCAGGCCAAAAAGATAACATTTTATAACATAAACATTATTATAATTTTTCTGGCGAAGTCCCTGAAACAATTAATGTAACCCCAAACCACACCTGGGAGCTAGGGTATAATGTGGCATATAAGCTACAAAGCGTATAACTTATCATTTTACCATTCCAACTAATGTGACACACTCACCAGTAAGCATCAACAAGGTGCAGCATTTCTGGTCGTACACTGTCCACCACTGTTAGGTTGTTAAAACCACTTTGGCGACCCAATGAATAGGCATTGTAGCTCGGTTCAGAAATCAGGGACATGGAACTGGCTGCAACATGAGTTACTTAGCAGCAGAGAAACAAAATCGCACATTGTGTGGAATATTACTAATGGTATGGGATCCTGGCTACTAAACCAGAAAGAAGGATTTAACTATTTTTATGTGAGATTTTGACTAGATGGAACCATCTGTATAATGAAATATAGAATTAATATAGGAGACTGTACTGTACAAAAAGAGGAAGAAGGCTTCTTCCCTTGAAATTGTTCAACAGAAATTTATTATACATTTTCTAGATTCCCATAAATGCTAGGTACTTTGTTCATCCTACTTCTTGAGCCAGAAATCCTGACAGCATCAGATGAAGGTACAAAGTATGATTCTTTTCATTGTGCAGTTTCTTATGTTGATTTTCTGTGAAAACTTACTTCCCTTTTTCTAGAATGGCTGGTGCACTAGGGAGTTGTGAAACTTCTACAATGAAAACATGGCCTATATTGAGCATGATATGCTCTTTTAATAATGTGATTCCCTGGCAAACCTTACCTTGACTGTTATGTAAGATATACTCAAGAAAATTCCACAACAAGCTATGTTACTGCCTGTTGAGTGTGGCTCAAAATATTTATGGTAGAAACCCACTGCTTATATAAGACTTAGCTCCTCCCCTGATCACAACAAAACTCCCTCCTACCCAGTTGCCTTCATGATGTCAACACAGGTATAAGTTAATAAAAGGAATGAATGTTGAGCAGGTCAGTTACATGAGTAAAGTCTTAGAGGTGCATCTTTGTATTTGCTGTATGTAGTCAACTCAAGTAATTGGATAAGTCTCCACATAAGTAAAACTGCTTCATTTTAACAAGTGACCTATTTCAAATGTACTCTAATTTTTACAAAAATACATGTTCCAATTTACAAGGTATTATATCACGTTTTAAACCCAAGTACTTTAAAATGGTATGATATTTGGGGTTACAATATGTGAAGTAATACAGGAATGAAGAAGATTTAAAATCAGAGACCTCATATTCAACCAGTAGGGTCATTTATTCAAAAGAATGCAATGGATGGTATATTCACCACACATCAGGAAAAAATAAATGCACAAACAATTCTAGTTGGAAAGCCTCAATAACAGAAATCATTCAGGAGCCTCAACTAAGAGAATGGTTTCAAAATGGATCTTTTAGAAATTGGTCTGTGAAGTTGTGAACTGGAATGAACTGGTTCATGATAAGATTAAATGGTGAGCTTTTATGAACATAGCAGTGAAATTTTTGAAGCCACAGCAAAATTTCTTGATGAGTTAAATACATGAAGTACTCAGGAAAGTATGAATCATGGTTGAAGTATTTCAGAATCGAAGAATTCTTTCTTGAAATCCTATATTAATATACAGTCACAGTCTGCCATACCTGGAGCATTAGTTTGTGCACATTATTTGAAATTAATAGTTTCTTTCAGGAATAACGTATATGTCCATGAAATGTGAGAGGTTCCATCGTCACACTATTGCATATAATTCAAATGATTACATACAGTTCTTTATTTTGCAACATGTTTCATCCCATTGGCCATCATCAGGCTATTTTCATGTATTACTGCTGAATTTAAGTATTTATGTATGGTATTATTATTGACTGAATTATTTAGGTTATAATCACTAGGCTGGCTTTGATACATTCTGTTAAAACGTTTTTAGCTAAAAACTTTAATTGCAGGAATCTCTGAAAGTTCTCTTTTTCAATTTTTTTCCTTTCATGATTCACTTAAAATATAGTCCACAGACTGTGGGATATGGATCAGTATTTAATAATGTGACCACTGTTCAAGTTTTTGGTGTTATGTGTCATCATTTTTCTTATGTATGCTCTAGCACAAAATATATTCGGTCGATATTGTCGTCTGTTGTTCCTTGATCTGTCTTCCAACATTCAATCATAGAACATGGACTTAAAATTTCAAACACTGGGCAATGGAGATAATAACAGTTAAGCAAAGGTGTGTATAAAATAGTCTTATGATGACTAGTAGGCCGAAACATGTTGCATAATAAATAACTGTACATAATTAATTCAACTAAACACAACAATTATGTTGGTGGAACCTCTCATATTTATTAATCTAGAAAGCTGAATGTCCATGTTAGGTGGATCCCTTGTCACCATGGCATGGCGCGTCCTCAGGTTGCAGATGGAGGAGACACTCTCCAGGTAGGGAAGGAAGCTGCGGATATATTGAATAAGCAGTTGTGGACAGCCGACAAGGGGTGTTCCTCAAACTTGGGGATTGGGTGTGGGGCTAACAACTCTTCACCATAAAAAATAAGCTTGTTATGAAAATGTTCACAAAGCCTCAAAAACTGCAGTTTTGCCTGTGGTTCTGTATGGGTGTGAAACTAGGTTTCTGACATTAAGGGATGAACATAGACTGAGGTTTAGAAACAAAAGAAGTTAATTATTTCCAAGATATGAATGAGTAAAAAACTTTGAAATGGCGGTGATAGAATTGTTGGGTTATAAAATTATTGTAATTTGTATATATATATATCACCTGATGGAAATTTTAAAGAATTTTTAAGGAAACTGGAGCTAGTAATTAAGAAATTAAGTATGAAAGGAAAACAGTTAATCTTATGTGGGAACTGGAATATGAATTTTTTGCAGGAGAGTGTAAAATTAAATGAACTAAAAATATTTTGCATTTATATAATTTGGTAAATACAGTGGAGGTCCCGACTTGAGCTACAAAGAATACTAAATCATTGATTGATGTAATCATCATAAATAATAGTAATTATACAAATCTATCAGTAGTAATGGATCTAGGTTTCTCAGATCATTATGCTCAAGTATTATCTATATGTATTGAGAATTTTGTAAGGAGACCATTAAAAGTTAGGAGGAGAATGTTTAATGAAGGAGGCATGGACGAACTGCAATATATTTTAAACAAAGAATCGTGGCAAGATGTGTTTTTGGAATCTGATGTAAATTGGAAATTTAAGAATTTATGGATACTTTCCATTATTACTTTGATGTGGTTTTCCCCTTAAAATTATTTAACCAGAGTAAACATAAAAAAAGTTGGGTTACTCAGGGAATAAGAAAGTCCAGTAAAAGGACGAGTTGGTTGAATAGTTTGCAAAAGAGAATAAATCTTACAGGAAAAGAACAAGAGTATATACATAAATATCGAATGATATATAAGAGAGTAATAAAGGAAGCTAAGAAGAAGGAAAATGATAGTCATATAGCTAATGCAAAAAACAAAACTAGAGCAATGTGGCAAATAGTGAATAAGGAATTAGGAAATAACCTGCAGAGGGAATTGGGAATAGATCTAAAGTGCGGGTCAAGGAAAGAGGCTAATCCACAGCTTATATCTGAAATGTTTAATTTATATTTTGCGGACATAGTAGGAAAGCTTGTCAAGCAAAATAATAGTATGATGTGCTGTAAAACGCCACAGAGAGTAAATACCTATAATGAAACCATGTTTATTTGTCCAGTGACAGAAAACGAGATATTAGAAGTGGTGAAGAAATTTAAGGGAAATTTTCGGCAGGTACTGATGAAATACAGGATTATGTGCTTAAAAAAATGTATAGAAGCGGTTAAAATGCCATTAGCCCACATTTATAATGCCTCTCTAGAAGCAGGTATTTTCCCAGAGAGATATAAGATAGCAAAGGTAAAACCACTTCATAAAAAGGGAGAAAAGAAGGATATGAAAAATTATACACCAATATCCTTTTTGTGTGCTTTCTCAAAAATCTTGGAAAAGTTGATGCATAATAGGTTACTCTCTTTTTGACAAGAAATGCCATAATAACAGAGGCCCAACATGGATTTAGGATGAATAGGCCGACTCAGACTGCAAGTTACTCTTTTCTAGCAAACATACAGAAATCAGCTGAGAAAAAAGAAAAACAGGTCAGAATTTTTTGTGATTTAACTAAAGCATATGATGCCATAAATCATGACACCTTACTATCTAAATTATAAACATATGGAGTTAGAGGTGTGGCAAACTTATGGTTTAAATCATATTTGGCTTACCGGAAGCAAGTTGTTGAAATAAGTTGTGATGGCAAAAAATATACATCGGGCCCAAGAGAAATTAAATATGGAGTACCACAGGGTTCAGTGCTTGGACAATTATTATTTTTTTATACATAAATGATCTGCCTTTGAATATCAAAGAGGCGAGGATAGTTTTGTTTGCAGATGATATAAATATTTTGGTAACAGCTGGAAAGGTACATATCCTGCAGCAGAAGATAAATAAAGTCATGAATGAGTTAGATGGATGGTTTAAGGTAAGTAATCTTATAATGAATACTGAGAAAACAATAGCAATGGCATTTCTTAATAGACAAGAAAGAGATTTTATGAAACCTCAAATCAGATTTGGCAAAATGGAGATCTCCTATAAATGTGAAACGAAATTTCTAGGTATACATTTTGGCGAGCATATGGAGTGGAAAGCACATATGATGTTCTTAAGCTCAAAACTTCATAAAGTCTGTTACGTGATAAAATACCTTAGGGATGTAACAAGCCGACAGGTTATAAGGAGTATTTACTTTGCTCACTTCCATGCTTATTTGAAGTATGGTTTAATTTTCTGGGGTAGTGACCCAAAAAGTAAATTTATATTTAAATTGCAGAAACGAATTGTTAGAATAATTAGTGGTGTGAGTAGATTAGCATCATGTAGACAACTTTTTAAGAATTTAAACTTACTTCCACTACCTTGTATGTATATATTTGGAATAGTATGCCATGTTAAACTATATTTTGAGAAGTTATAACAAAATAATGTAGTTCATAATCACAATACACACCAGAAGTTAAATCTCCATGCTCAGTTTTGCAGAACAAATGCCCAAAAAAAATGAGTACTGAACATGGGAATAAAATTATTCAATAAAATACCAAATAAAATTAAGGAGATAGAAAAAATGATACAGTTTAAAAAAGTAATGAGGTCATATTTGGTACAATATATGTTTTATTCTGTAGAGGAATATATGTTAAATTAAAGATGGTATGTTTGTGAAAGGGGGGGTTTTATTTGTAATTACCGAAATTGAACTATTGTATGTTTAATGTGTATAGAACGTTTTCCTATGACAGTGATTTGACAAGGAAGGAAGAATGGATTGGTTGATTGATTGATTGATTGATGGGAAATGGATTGAATTGGTTACTCTGTTGGGGAATTTATGTTGCCTTAAATTTTTATTACAGTTTTATATGGTATGTTGGACATGCACACAATTTGTGTATGTAGTTAAATATTATAGTATTGTTGACTTTTATACAAATAATTTGACTTGTTCTATATCTGGAGGCTGTATTGCAAAATGTGGATTTCTGGAACCGATAAAAATATGAATATGAATATGAATATCAATGCTTGAGAACACTGTGTTGAGGATAATATTTTGACCAAAGAGAGATGAAGTGGCAGGAGGTCGGAGAAAACTACAAAATAAGGAGCTTAAATAATTTCTACTCTTCTCCAAGTATAATTAGAATGATCAAGTCAAGGAGAATGAGGTGTGCCGGGCATGTAGCACGAATGGGGTCGAGGAAAAATGCATATAAGTTATTGGTGGGAAAGATTGAAGGAAGGAGACCACTGGAAAGGCCAAAGGCATAGGTGGGTAGACAATATTAAAATGGATCTCAGAGAGATAGAATGGGATGGGATGGTATGGTTTGGATTGATCTGGCTCAGGATAGGGACCACTGGAGGGCTCTTGTGAATGCGGTAATGAATCTTTAGGTTCCATAAAATGCTGGGAAGTTCTTGAGTAGCTGCACAATTGGCAGCTTCTCAAGAAGGGCTCAGCTCCATGAGTGAGTGGGTGAGAAAGCTGAATGTGGTGCTTTGATACAGCAGCATTTCATCACATACATTTGTTTACCCAGACCTAGTGATCAATGGATCATATCTCAGAATTCTAACTCCCTGCCTAAGATTTGAAACAAGTATTTTCAGAACATCAATGTGCGAAATTACTGCTGAGCTAACCTTTTGTATTACTGGTACAAATAGAGCAATGAAGACTTGCTGGGTCATCAGCAATGTTAGTAAGGGCTAAAAAACTGATTTGGAGGCAGTTTCAAAATGTGAAACCTTGCTGTTCATTGATATGTCCCAAATTTTGTGTTATAACATTATTTTCCTTCTGGAATATTTTTAATGTTTTGTTATCTGTTCATAATATATATGCTTGTTTTTCTTATGTGAATTTGAATTCCTGTGAACTTCAAAGAATCCTTACAAATGACACAAGTCTTTAAGGCTTCCTTCTTAATGAGATTATTGTCAGGAGAATACAATTTCTTAACAGCCTTCTTAAAAATTCAGTTTTGTAGTGGAAGTAAATCAATATATTTTCCTGCAGTGGTAGTGACTATATGATGTAAGTCTCCTTTTTATAGTTGATAGTTACTCAGCTGGTCATGACTTTTAAGGCTTTCCTGAAATTTGAAGATCAATCACTGTCCCTATATTAGGCTTAACCTGAGCCAGTTCAATCCAGACAAACCCTTCACACCAAATTTTTCAAGGCCCATTTCAGAAACCTCCTATTTATGCCGAGGATCCCCAACTACTCTTTTCCCTTGGATAATCAACCATTGCAGTTATTATAGAAAGCTATGTCGCGAGTTCAAGTCCCAATGAGGTCACTGGATTTTTTTCAGTTGACCTAATCCTTCCAGCCGCACTAGGCCCTGGGGTTTACTCAGCCTCTAACAGAAATGATTACCGGGAATTAATTAAATAATTTTCCTGGGACGTAAAGTGCGGCCGGCGCGTGGGGTTGACCTTACCGCCATCCTTGAGCCGATTGTCTAGACCGTCTAGACAATGTGAGACACTCAACGTCTCATAACCCTATGGGTCCCGATGTCCCGATATACCGTTCCAAACATCGTGTGTATAAAAAGGCAGATTTCCTTTGTGCATAAGCCCTGTACCATGTAGGCGTTACGGCGGGAATGTAATGCATCGTACATTGTAAGTCGATTATAACTGCTCTGTGCTGCTGGCAGACGCGTTTGTAGCCAATTTATGGTATTACTGAAAAAGTTTATCATGAAAGATCATGAACATCAAGAACTTGGACAAACCACAAAAGAAATAGGTTGTAAGCAAGGTCAATAAGTAGAAAGTCTCCTGTGGAGAGAACCGTTATTGTGTAATCCCTGACAATTGCGCCGTTTAGTACAGTTTTGCACGAATCACTTTAAACACATTGGAGCCCGCCAATTTTCTAGGCGTTAGTTTTATGTGAATATTTATGTATAATTATTTCTAATGGGTAAGCTAGACTAATTTGGTGATGAAAACAAATTAGAGAAAAATTATGAACTAAGGGTATCTATTAATATGGTGAAAGTTACTGAGAACGATGTGGAAGTTTTGTCTGCCGTATCTAACCTAATTGCGGCTTGTAGCTGATTTTAACAATGTTACAGGATATTTTATTTTGGAGACTTTACTTCAGCGAAAATGCCACAGAAGAGGAGCAAAATTGACGATGGTGATGATCAAGGAGGACAGGGGCAAAATGCCCTAGATGTGTCAGAAATTCGTGAAGAGGAGGAAATTTCAGAAGATGAAGAAAGCGGGTTGAGAATAGGAGATATTTACATCCCTCCGCCGCCGAACCCAGTTTCTTCAAATGAAACAACAGGGCCAAGGCTCATCATCACTCATATTGAGAATGAAAACTTTAAAAGTTATGCTGGCAAGCAAGTCCTTGGGCCCTTTCATAAGGTATTAGGAGGGCTGTTGACATATTCATATACTGTCTTTATGTTAATTTAAGAATTTCTGTGTGTAATCCAGATTATATATATTTTTTCTCACCACAAAATTAAATATAGCTGGAGCATAAATAGTACCCATTCTAGTATTTTATGTTTTTTTTTGGTCAAGAGTGTGTTTTTATGAATATACCAAATATTTGGATTACTTAGATGCAAGGAGAAAAATATTAGATATGCTAGCAAACAATTTTATGGTACAGAGAACATATAGTTGTAGTAGTTTAGTAGTGTTCACATCATCCTTGCTTAAGTTTTTCTGAAGGAGCCTCACTAGCATAGTGTCACGTGTATTAGTGACTAAAGATGGGGTTTGGATTGTTAATTGGATTTATTAACAACCTACAGGTCATAACTACATATAATTAGTACACTATTAATGATTTACAAAATTTACAATCGCTCCACACTAATCTCTCAGTCTTTTTCCACTAGTCTTCACTACCTGTTTCCTGGCAACAGAATTATAACACAGGAACTATAAAAGTCTCACTAAATTACACACTCTGAATATCATTGTGCTACAACACATATAACACCACAGAGTAAGTCTTCTGATTCTTCTGGCCGCACTTCTGCTCCTTCTAACTTCAGAACTCAAGTGAAGTCCGCCTATTACTCACTCCTCCAGCTTACGAATGCCTGCAAATGACCTTTGCTGTCCCCCACCAACCTTCGGTGCAGACATACAGAAAACACGTCGGGTGCTGTCTAGCCACTGTTGTGTGACATTGCCTACGCGGAATTGTGTTTACCATCCATGGATATGTGAACAACTTCACAATAAGTTGATATTTGTCACTTAATTTGCAGTTAGTGTACTATTCCTATGATCTCTTACTGAATTTGGGGTTTATCTAAGATAACTGGCCTTAACATAAGTCGTGGCAACTCACATAATGCAACTGAGAGCATAGATATATATAGAACTGTTAGACTGTACTTTACAGTAACCTCCAATTACGATTAGGCTAATATAACTTTTTATTCCTCAGTGTTTCACGTCAATTGTTGGTCCAAATGGCAGTGGAAAAAGCAACGTTATAGATTCTATGCTGTTCGTGTTTGGCTACCGAGCCAGTAAGATCCGTTCGAAGAAGATTTCTGTCCTTCTTCACAATTCAGCTCAACACCCAAATGTTCAGAACTGTACTGTTGCAGTACACTTCCAGCAAATCACAGACATAGTAAGGTTACTTGTAGATTGATTGATTTATTCTTTTGTCCGTTAGCTCATTTAGTATTTGGTTGGTAGTCTCTAAATTTGTTCTTATAAATATGTGTGCAATTTCATAATCTAAAAGACTGAAGAAGAAGAAGAAGAAGTAATATGCCATGAAAATAATTTAAATGGACTCTCTTTAAAATTTCTTTTCAGTTTGTGTCAGTTTATTTGGTTCTAGCAAGTTACTTGAATCAAATATTTTGTTGTAAAATTGTTGTTCCTTACCTGTGTTAAAGTCTGGTACTGATGACTTCGAGTTGGTTCCAAACTCAAAGTTGGTTGTGGCCCGAACAGCTTTCAAGGACAACACATCATTCTATACTGTGAATGGTCGCCGTGTGCAGTTTAAAGAAGTAGCAAAGCTACTTCGCAGCCATGGCATTGATTTGGACCACAACCGGTTTTTGATCCTGCAGGGCGAGGTGGAACAGATAGCCATGATGAAGCCCAAGGCTCCCAATGAACATGAGTCAGGCATGCTGGAGTTCTTGGAGGACATCATTGGCACGACGAGATACAAGGTTAGCAATGGAATACATTTTCTCTCCAAGTTAATGCTGTAGTAGATGTGAAGTATAAAATAATTAACTCAACACACCGATAATCATATATTTTTACAAAAGAAAAAAAAAATATGATTATTCAAGAATTATACAGTCATGTGTATTTTGAAGTATATAACTAGTGCTTGTTACACATTAGAATAAGAAATTCAAGAAATGGAATGATTTTTATTAACTGGTGTAGGCCATAAAATTATTTATTAATGCTCAGAATCCCTGTTCACTGAAATATAAGTGCAGTGTGATGTATCACCTCAGTGTTTGTATATAAAATTACCACATACTTAACTCTTTGACTGGCGCGAAGGGTATTTAAATCCCACCCCTGTCCTGGCAGGCCCTTTAAACCTTATGTCACTAAAATGCATGTTGTTACTTTTTCCTAAACAACTTCAACAAAAATTGGTTTTTAAAAACGAAATTTTTAGGAACTAATTAAAATACAATATTTTATGCAATAAATGCTTTTCCACACCTCTTTATTTGTTTTTCTTCGTGTGATAAACATTGAAACATGAAAGTTTGCAGAGAGCCACACCACAGCCTGCACACATGATACTTGTTTCTTTTCTAACCTTGTAATTAGCACTCACGCGACACTTTCTCAGGGCACCATTCTTCTTATTGTTACTGTTAGGAACATGGACCATTTTGTGAATTTTCAAGCCACCCTCTAGACGATTTGCTGGCTCTTTCACTGGTGGTCTTTTCAAGGTCGAGGGCGGAGGCGTGACTGCACTCTAGTCTGACCCAATAGATTCGTCATCCACTTCATTCCTTGACTTTTCTCCCTCTCCACACTGTTTGTTTGGTTCAGTCATTTTTCTACACAGTCCAATATAAAATCTTTGAATCTGTAATTTCTCTTCTTGTATTTTTCGTTTGTTGTGTTCTTTTTGAATAGAATGAAACTATTCAACCGCAAAGACATGTTTTGTCCAAACCATGGGTGTGAAATAGGGGCCTAGTGGACAAATATTCTTCAATTTCAGGGCGTTTGTCGATTCCTGTCATGAACACAATTCCTAAGTATGTCCAGATTTCATCTGATGTGACATAATTGTAATTGTGTTTTCGAGAGTGAGGAGCTAACTCATGTGCGTTGAAGTGCTGGTGAGCATAGCGATTGGTTTCAGTTGTGATGTGATTTACCAAGTCGTCATCCAGAAAAAATTTTAATCCATGAAAAGGGATGCATTTTATGTGTTATATCAATTTTGATCCCGAAACTATTAGCAAATGGAAGTATTGGGGGTACAATGTCTCCGTACGTTCATGAGATGGGCGTGTCAGGCACCGCACTCGTGGTAGGTAAATGTTCATGATTACTGTCTTGTGGATCATTGCCTATCACTGTATTATTGTCACTATCAACTTAATCCAATTCAGGAATCATTATTTCATCGCCACTATCATCATCAGAAAAAATCTCGTTCACAACATTTTCCAGCTGGTCTGTAGGAAAACGAAGACACTTGCTGCAAGAAGCTATGGTGAAACTGAATGAATGTGAAATATTTTCTGACCTTTACCTTCTCATGAGGTTCTGACAGTAATATAGACCCCCACAAAGTTTACAAGGGTTCTTTACAAACATGCACAAAAACTATCATAAATATGTCTTTGGTTGATGAGTGCCAAGAGAGCAAAGAAGGGACGAGATTGTCAAAGCGTTAAAACACGCCAACGCCAGGGAACGGCTGGCATCGTCCGGGCGTTAAAACACGCCCGCGCCAGTCAAAGAGTTAATGAGACAGGTTTAAAAACTATCGAGGACAGTTAGTCCATTGTTTACAGAATTGGAGTGGTTATAAGTAGTAATATATAAACAACTACAGTTTTTAACTGTGTGTGTGAAAGTTTAAGTTCAAAGGTTCTTGTCACTGTCTGCCTGGACATACAAAATTCCATACTAGTTGAACAGATTTTTTGTACAAGTAATCCTTAAAGTCCATTAACAGAACTTAATTTTAGGAAAATTGTGATAAATATCCAAATCAGCAAACTGTCTTTTAATCAGCTTGTGTTCCCAACACCTGTAATGGAGGCTGTCTTTTTTTTGGTGTTAAACAAGAATGAAAATGTATGGTCATTGGAAGTGAACATTTTTTTCTAAATGCATCCTTTGAGATTTTGCATGTGTCATTGATTTTGGAATTATGTGTTGCAAATATAAATCTGTTTTTGAAAGCTTAACGCAAGGCATAGAGAAATGAATTGGGTCCTGCATGTATTTCATTAAGTATCTGCCATATTCAGGAGTGTTTCATGTAAACATAAGTTTTAATGAGATGTGTATTTTGTCGTTTTTGTATGATGAGACATTTTTGAGCAAATAATTTGGAGGTTCCTGTGAAGTATGAGCTGTATTTGATTGATCAGCACCAAAATTAAGTTCCTGTAACAACTTTTAATACAGATTTATTCATTACAAAATTCTGTTAACATCTGTTCAGTAGTTTTTGGAGATAGAGCATTACAAAAGGATACTTGGTCAGGCAACCTGCTCATTGTGTGTTAATGTTATGCAGTTACGCGAAGTACATTATACCCAAGTCATGGTGGTATCATTATGGCCTGTACTATGTTGTTTGTAGGAGCCTTTGGAGAAACTGGTTACACTTGTGGAGCAGTTGAATGAGGAGCGAAGTGAAAAGTTAAATCGTGTGAAGATTGTTGAGAGGGAAAAGGAAGATTTGGAAGGGCCAATGAAGGAGGCAGTGGCATACGTGAAAATGGAGAACGAGATGACCATAAAAAAGAATGTTGTCTGCCAGAAATACATGTATGTAGTACGAGTTACGAGGCCGAAAACACATAATTTTTGCTTTGTTTATTTGCTTTGAAGTTGGTAATTCTGTCTGAAGTTCCCATCTCCAGATAAGTGTGATGATAGCATATTCTTCTCTTCGTAGTCATTTTTCATTTCATGTTATTCATTATCTTCATTGTCAAGTGATCTAGTGAGGGGGAGGGGGATACTAGACAGTACGCTACTATGATGTATTTAACTTTCTAAGTGCCGAGTAAATGACCATACACAACTGTGAAGCAGGTGAAATTATTTCATTCTTTTAAATATTTGAGTGCATGTACATCAGAAGAAGATGTAAATCATTAAAACTATTCAGTGTGACAGAAAGCAAACAGCACTGTGAAAGGTAAAATAATCAAAGTGCTCAGTTCAAAATTAGAACGATTTTTGTATAATTTTTGTTAGAGATGTCCTGTCCTGAAATAATTATGCAGCATGTACTGTACATATGAGTATTTTCCGCTACATTTGTTAATAGCCTTTTCTTAGATTTGATGACCTGCAGTAAAGCACAGAATTTAAAGAAATTGCTGTGCTGTCTTATATCACAGACAGCAGAAGTTCAGCTCACAGAGAACAGGGTTACTCTATTTGCATTGATCATTTACTGTAAGAGAGCAGCACAGGAATATGTATCAGAATCTTTACTGGCAAACCAGCAGTTTTATACTCAATACATCTTACAGCATACTTCATACTGGAGTCTGTACTAAGTCCCTGTAGGTTGATGATTCTGCAGCCTCATTTCAGATGGAAGTATTTTTTGTTTTTAGAGTATTGCATTCTATAACACTACGTGCTTTCTGTGAGATTTCATTGCGTCACATGTTTCGCTTTGTATCTAAACAATTCAGTTTTCCACAGGCAGCATCAACTGTTGTTGCTTTCTGGTTTTACTAGTATAACCAGAATCTTATGTCATTTTGAAGTTCTCGCAAAAACATATCTCATATTCTTAATGTTGTGGCAGGCCATACTAGAACAGTTGATATTATTTATAGTTAGGTGTTATTAGATAATGCCAGGCGAGACAAATTAGCCGACCATATAAAGTTTGTGGCTAGTCCCAAGAACATGAGCAACACTGGTCCATAGTTCTTGTCTTCATTGAGAAAACATGCATGTTGCAAGTGTGTCCTGCCTTGCATAGTCCATATTTCAATCTCCCCCTATTCTTTATACATTACTAAAATACAACTTTTGTTTTGAATAGCACCCAGATAACTGTTTAGTAGATTGATTCAGATCTAAAAATCTAGAATTTAGATTTTGAAAATGTCACATACCTTGGAAACTCTTTTAAAGTGGATTTTTATGTTTGGAAGACTTAATATTTCCCACAAATGTCCACAAATGTATGCATGAAAAGATGGGATGTTTTATTTGTTCCTTGTCAAGTTGCTTGTATGGTGCCAGTCTCGTCATCATGGTCCACCCAAAATATAAGCCCTAAAAACAATGAGAACCTCAAATTTGGTATGTTGGTTAAAAGAGGTACCAGGTCTGTGCTGAACTGTCGATTCTTGTTAATGACATTTGATTTTCTCCCAAATAATATGAATTGTTTACAAGAAAATTGGTTATGAGCTTTTGTCTAGATATGACACATATTTTTCTAAAACCACATTGCTCTCTTGTAAACCAGTCTTTGTATTTTTTGATTAGCATCTTTATCCATTAATTCCAAATCAGTTCCCATGTTACTTTCCTTGCTGTCTTTTGCATGACTTCCATGAATCTCATCCCCGGAATTAGTATAATACCGGTTTCTTCCACGTTATCTATATGCTCATATTTAGAAGTGTCTGCCATCTATGAGTGCAGTTTGAAATGTGTGTAGAAAACTGCAAATGATAATTGTATTGTAACGTGTTTGCGTTACCGAAGACGCCGTAGAGATGGTTAATTGGTTTATTTAACAATTACAAATAACGGCTACAATTACTTATCTCACAGTTGCGGGGTTTCACACTTTATAACCCTAATCGCATTAATCTGTTAACACTGTTGCGGGGTTTCACGACTTATAACCCTATGCGCAAATCAGTTCACTCTGTCTTCAGTAGTCTACACGTTTACAGTCGGGGAGCTTTGTATCACTGTATCACACGCTCCCAATTACA